CTGCTAAAAGGAGCATATATATATATATATATATGCTCAGTAATGGAAGCCAACTATGAAGTTGATTAAATACAGCCTATACCGAGGACAACACTAGAACACACGGCCCGTACAACACCATTTCACATGTTAAGTTACAGTCTGTATTGATTGCCCTCACAAAACAATGCATTCCTTCACATGCCCCTTGCACAAAAGGGCAGTCACAAAATATGTGATACAGATCTTTCGGCTCCGCATCCCTGTCTTGGGCGTTCCATCAATTTTTTCCAAGCCCCACTTATGCTGAATGTCCCTCACCGGAAGAATATCTGGTATCGTCATCTATATGATATCTGTATGTTCTCTCTTTATTCACTTATATCTGTTACTTCCTTCCTTCCACATATTGGTTATCTGTCCTTCTGTCAGATCTCCAACTAATGTTAGCTCATCTTTCTTTCTAATAATATTAATCACTTTCTTATGGTCTTTCAAGTACTCTAATCCCACTCTCTCAAGTTTATTTACCTGTATGAAGCTCTTGATCATCGCATAGTGGGCTTGCGGCTGCCATGCCCACAATTTTTTCCATTCTCCCCTGTATGTGCCCCATCTTCTTAATGTTCTTCCTGCCAAGACAGCAGAAACATGCAGTCTTCCCCACCTCCTCTGTTATCTCCTTACAGAGCATACTTATAAAGTAAGCATACACAAAGCTTTCCAAATCTGGTATTCCCCAACCTCCTATTCCCTGGCTTTGTATAGCTCCATTCTGTCTACCATTCCTCTTTTACTTTCCCCCCTCAAAACACACATTTACCTCTATACCCTCCTTATCTGTTGCCATGATGGTGGATATACCACTCCAATGTAAGGGATGATCGGCAAGAGTACTGTTTTCACCGCAACTGCTTTATCCTTGAAAGATAACATTCTACCACTCCGTGATCTCAGTATCTGTCTCACTCTTATCTCTAACTTCTCTCACACCTTTGTTCCTTTCCCTTTGGTATCCATTGGGATTCCCAAGATCTTGATTACACCCTCTACCACCTGGAGCCCAAACTTCTGTAAATTCTCCCAGTTCCCCACACCCATCAACATACTTTTCATCTAATTTAATTTCACTTTGACACTTCACCATAGTTCTCAGCATGCTTCAATACCCTCTCAATTGATATGTTGTCCTGAGCCAATATGTTCCCATCATCCATGTGTAATGTACATTTTAATGCATTACCTGTGCCAATGGCTCTGCCACATCCACAAAAAGATAGGGGGACAGCAGGCATCACTGTCTTACCCCTGTTTGTATGGGGAATGTTTTGCTCAAGTAACCATTTACCAGTACTCAATTTCCTGCTTTACTGTATAGTACTCTGACCCATCTGATCATTTTAGCCAGAAACCCCATCCTCCACAATACTTCAAACATGACATCACATTTGCCCCATCATAAGCTTTTTCCAGGTCTAAATTCATTATTATTGTGTTTCTTTTCCTCACTTATACAAGCGATATGACCCCCCCCCCCCTTAACCATAGGGCCTGGTATATCCTCCTCTCAGTAATGGCACATGTTTGTTCTTTTTGTATCACATCTCCTAAATAGTCATGCGGTCTTTTGGCTGATACTTTTGCCATTGATTTGTAATTTACATCTAAAAAGGTTATTGGCCTCCAGTTTTATAACACGTCTTCCTTTCCCTTCTTGCATATCAAAATTACCCCATCTTCTGCAAAATCATCCCCTATCTCCCCACCCTCCACTATTTCCCTGTATATCTCTATTACAGAGTTTCCCAACCACTGGGCCGTGGTGGGTTGGCTGCCGGGTCGTGCCACAAGCCCCCCACTCAGACCCCTGTCTGTCTGCCCGAGCAAGCGGCTTCTGGAGTCAGAGCTGAGCTTCTGGGGTTAAAGCTGGGTGGTGGGGGAGCCCTGAGAGGGAGGCAGCTGGCTTTCCGTGCCCTGTCCCATTCCTGCTGGGCCATGGTAAAAAAAAAACAAAAAAAACAAAAAAAAAAAAACAAAAAACAAACTTTGGGAACCACTGCTGTATTATATCTGTCCCCAGCCATTGCCAAAATTTTTCATAGAATTCCACCGGAAGTCCATCTTCCCGGCGCTTTCCCAGTCTCGCAAGCTTTTAAGCAGTCCTCCCCCTCTTGTACCTAACTTCTCTTCCAATTTTTGCTTCTTTCTATCTTCTATTCCTTCCTTTGTCCCTTCAAGGAATACCTTCATTTTTCCTTCATCCATTCTTTTGTACAACTCTTCACCCTTGCATACAACACCTTCATCCTCTCTCTTATTCAGATTCCTTCTTCAGTTCTCACTGCTTTCAATTTCTTCCTTTTCTTCAATTCTGATGAAAAATACTTACCTCATTTCTCACACTTCTCCATCCAAGGTGCTCTGATTAGAAAGAATTCCCCATCCATTTTCCTCTTGAACAATTTGTCAGTTCATCCCTTTGTCTTCCAGTTCTTTCACTTGTACTCCTCTTACTACCTCCGTTAATAATTCCTGCTTCTTGCCTACAGTTCTTTTAGCTGTGCCACCCCCTTCCTCACTTCTTAGATCAATATTTCTGAAGAATTGTCTTGTTCTATCATAGTCAACCACTCCCAGACACTTCTGTAATATCTCTTCAGAGTCCTCCATCTAAATGCAGTTCCACATATTATTGACACCTTTTCATTTTGTAATAATTGAACATTTAACTTCCACATCTCTTTCCCACTACCTTTTAACTTTTTTCTAAACTCAGTTCCATTCTCAGTATTCAGTGATTGCTGAAGGTCACATCTAAGATCTCCTTCTTTGCAATCCATTTGATGTTAATACAAAATCAGCCCTTGACCAGGGCTGCCACTCCCACTTAGTTCCATCCTCGTAATCACCTTCTCACTAGCCCATCATTTAAACCTGTTTCTCTTATTACATTAATCAGTACTTTGGATGAATTGTCTATCTCTCCCTCCCCTCCATCTCCTGTCCCATCCTCCTCCTTCATAATGCAATTGAAATCCTCCACCAGCATTTGCTGTCTACCTCCTCCTACATGCACCTTCAATTTCTGGGTGATCCTTCCTTCTCTTTTAGCCTCTGCATAGATATAGATCTCTAGCACTTTCTTTTTCAAACTCCACCACTATTCATTGCAGTCTCCCTTCCACAGTCACTTGAACTTGCCACAGTTCTACTTTCTCACTCCTTGAGCAATACTGCAACTCCAGCTGCTTTGTCTGCATCTGATTCTGCCCACCACAATGGTCCTCATCTTCATCTCTTTACAAAGTGCTTGTAATCCATCCCATCCATGGGATTCCACAGTCCTGTAAACATATGACCTCTTTTACCTTACTCAGTATTGGCATAATTTTATCCTACCCCTTCCTCAATAACACATTTCTGACAGTTTTATAGATGCAATAGAAGCCATACTTGTACATTTTCAAATTTCACATCTCTACCACTTTACAAGACTTTTTATGCTGCTGCTTGATGCTGTCAGCTGTAATCCTCCCCCCCTTTGCATCCCCGTAATCTTTGTCAGTTGTTTTATTGTTTTAACACGGGTTCCCCATTCCCCTCTCCCATTTCCCCCCACCGCTTCTTTCCCCTCTGTTAGTTCCAGACCACATTAGCTCTGAGATTTTCACCAACCCATCTACCTCCCTGTATGTGTGTGTGCATACTTGACAGACCAAGACATACTTGAACAGTTAAACTATTTTAGTCCCGTTACAAACCTCGTTACTAAAAGCAAAATTCCTGTGACCCAAAACACACTGAATGGATCCAGACCATGCCATGACAAGAACTGTAAAATCTGCCAACATATCTTCACTATTCCCACAATAATTATACCTCACAACAGAACCATCGCCATTACTGGATCTTATATGTGCACCTCCAGAAATGTAATGTATCTCACCTGGTGCACCAGATTTACATATGGAAAATATGTAGGATAAACCAAACAACAACTGCATACCAGACTGAACACACACCAAAAATCTATCAAAGACAAAAATACCCAATTACCTGTGCATGCACACTTCACACAAGATAACCACTCTCTAATCTCTCAGTTCTAATCCTCAAAGGGAATTTACAAAATGCCTTTCACAGATGAGCCTACAAACTTCACTTCATCAACCTAGTGGATACAAAAAATATCATGGGCTAAATATAGACACTGGATTTATGGCACACTATAACCTGCTTGCCATCTGATAACCCCA